GCACGAAGCAGCCAGATAGCTCCGGCCTTTCAAACCTTTCCAAATGGGAACGAGCCAGAGGCAAAACCCTGGTGGCTTCTTGGGCTTCCTTCCAGGGCACCGTGTCTTGGCCGAAGTCGGTCTCAGGCTAACGATAAGACGCTTTCTAGCAAGAAGCTAACGTCAGACGTGCTCTGGTCAGCCCGGCGCTGCCTGCAGCCAGGGCTGTACGCGCTCGGCGCTCTGCGGGGCTGCGTTTCCCTGGGGATGTAACTGAACTCCAGCCACGTGGAGATAACGGCTGGCAGTGTCTGGGAAGCCCTGGCCTGGGCTGTTTGCCCCGTGAGGACACTAAACACAAACCTGCCCTGGTCTGTGGGGAGGCTGATTCGTGCTGGGCTCAAATCTCTTTTCCTGGGCACCGGAGCTTTGCTCCAAAAAGGTGGTGAGATGATGCTGATGCAGAAGAGATGCTGCCCGTCTGGCTGTCGCCCTGCTGGGTTGCTGTCCCCATGCACAGGGCACCTGGTGCTGCTGACGGAGGGGACAGGAGGTGGGGGATGGCAGAGATGCCCCCAACTCTCCCTGTCAGATGCTCTGCAGACCCCAGCCCAGCCACCACACTGGTGGGCAGCAGGAGCAGTGGTACCCACCACACGTTGCTGCAGAACTGTCTGAAAAATCAGTTTGGGGCAGATTTGTCTTTGCAAACCTTTGAAGCTGAGGTTCTGACGTCCTGCAGGACCTGGTCTCTGTCTCACCCAAACATCCCCCTCCTCTCCGTCCCTGCCCTGCCACCACCACGCGTTCTCCAGGGCCAGGACCCAGGCAGAGGCCCCAGGTCCTCACTTCTCTCTTCTCAGGCTGCCCAAGCTCCTTTCGGACAGTTCTTTATGTCAGCAATAGGGAGAGGAAATGTCCTTTGGTCTGATGGGGACTCGGTCCAGCCTGCCGCCAGCAGTGGTCCCTGCGGCAGGGCTGCGCGTGTCCATTGTGCCCTGACCCCCGTGGCGCCCAGCATCCTGCGCACAGCACCGTGCAAACAGCTTCTTCCTCCCACCTTTGCCAAGAGGAGGGATAATTAAATGCTCTGACCTGGGTACCTGGGGTAGAGGGGCCATACGGAGACGCAGGAACGTAAGAGAAGGACCTGGAGCCCTTATATGGAATTGAGTCTGGGCTTCGCTCAGCCCCGTGTCCCGTCATCTCCTCCTGAGCTCAGAGCCCTGTGCTAGGCCAGCTGCAGATCCCCAGGACAAAATGCTCCAGAGCTCCGGGAGGAGAGGAGCGAGGGTCCCCAGAGCCTCCTGGGTCAAGGCAGGAGGGTGGGTAGGGCAGGAAGGGGGGGTTTCTGCAGAGCCCCAGCTGGCTATGGACACCAGGGAGCAATGGAGAATTAGGGGGTGGAGGTTTTCTGGATTTGTGCTTGCCATGGCCCAGCTAACCGGACTTTTCTCTGTGCAGACATCAACGAATGCGCCCTCAACCCAGACATCTGCCCGAACGGCATGTGCGAGAACCTGCGCGGGAGCTACCGCTGCATCTGCAACCTGGGCTACGAGTCGGATCCCACCGGCAAGAACTGCGTGGGTGAGTTCAGGGCTCAGCGTGGGATGGGGAAATGGGAGCTCGGGGATGGGGAAAGGGGAGCTTGGGGATGGGGAACC